CTGAGGCACAAGAATCGTTTGAACCTGGGAGGCTGAGGTTGCAGTGAGCCAAGATTACGCCACTGCACTCCAGCCTGGGTGACAAAGCAAGACTCCATCTCAAAAAATTTAAAAATTAAATCAAAGTGTAGGTATCAAAGCAGGCTGAACTCAGTAATGGGAGTATTGCCTTTTGGTTGACCCTCATGATTGGTACCTTTACATGGCAAAATTTTTCAACATAGATATGATTTACAATCTGAAGCTATTTGGTTGAGAGAAAAAGACATTTATGTCTCTCGTGATATGTAAAAATTTCCCTGTGGAAACCCAAACTGACAATCTATTTGCAATTCACAACACGGAAGTTTGGTATCTTTTGAAGAATGCTCCTTAGGGGAGCATTGGTTGCCCTCATCCTTAGTTGCTCAATGTGGTTGCTCTTGCCCTTTATCTGGCCCGACTCTAATGAAAGCTTTATCATTCTAAATTTTTCAGATGAGATTTAGAGAGTTTAATAACTTGTCTAATGCCGCTTATCCAGAAAGTAACAAATTTAGGTTTCAACATAATTTCCTTACTTTAAATACAATATTATTTGAGTGACTTTACTTTAAAAAATATTCTAAGTGCTCTAAAGACAGTAAAAATTATACATGTAGAACTGATATTTACTGGCTCTTGATGCTTGATGATATTGTAGGACTATCACTACCATACAATGACTCTCCCACCACCAACTATTCTGGGTGTAGGGAGTGAAGTCTCAGCCATACTCACAAGTAAGTCCACTCTGCTGCCACATGGCCCCATTTTTACCTCCATGGCTCTTGCTTTGGCCCTTCTGGAGACATCTGCTGCCTGCAGACGGCAGATGAGTGCTAGGGTCCTGCCTTCTCTTGTGGGAAGGGCCAGCAATTCTGGAGCCACTTGGGGCCTGTGTCCTCCTTAGTCCCGAGTAGACTCAAGCCATTCTGTGCAGTAGTAATAATGCCTTTCTTCTAACTTAATGTTGTATAGATTCTAATTTCTCATTGATGTTCTAGTCCATTTTTTTCTAGAATTGCCATAATTGTCCCTTTCTTCAAACAGCTAAATATTTGTCCCAGGATCAGGTTTTTCTATCTCTTTTCTCCTTTTTGAAGCAGAGTACTCTTCAGATGCTTCTCACTTCCTCATGCAATAGGCTGTGGTAGTTTCCCCAAGCGCTTGAAAAATATATAGTAATCCCAGTAGTTTAGGGCTCATACAACAATACTTCTCCCTTCCAGGCATAAAATAGGATCCTCCACCCTTAGTTTCTAAGCTAACTCTTAAAAAAAATCCATAAAAAGGGTGAGTGAGTCATTCACCAAAATAATAAGTAGTAAAAATCTACCTCATGTCAATTTATGAGATTATCCTTTTGTAAACCCAATCTGAAACTTATCAAGATGTCCTTAAAGACATCAGAGAAATATTTTTAATTATGACTTCTTGACTCTTTAGATTTTCACTCAATCAATAAAACTAAAACTAGTTTTTACATATATTCAAGTTTCAGGGAAATTCAATTCAACCTCACCTGGAAAAGCATGCACATATTCATTAGCTACCATGAAGATATTTCATTTCTGACCACTCCCATGAAAGAGCAGATGGTCAATCATGAATTTATAACATGAAGAAATTTCTAAACATTTCCAATTTCACTTTTAACTTTCTTGGTATTATGACTTATGACTCATTCCATCAAATGGATATCCCCTTGGCATGTCTCTAAAGAAAAGATTACAGAAGGGCTTGTGTCTCAGCCACATCACAAGGCTATAATTCTTCCTTAAATCTGTCTGTGAAGAATTATAATTTTTTTTTAAGGAAAGCAAATTCTTTGAAAAAATATGAAGAAGCTTCTGTTAGAGAGTTTCTTTTAGATTTGCTTCCAAGAATAGTAAATCAATTAAATAATTAAACATATATATATATTTTAAATACCTATGTCTAGCCAGCCATGGTGGCTCACGCCTGTAATCCCAGCGCTTTGGGATGCCAAAGAAGGTAGATACTTGAGCCTAGGAGTTCAAGACCAGGCTGAGCAACATAGTAAGATCCCCTAAGCGACAACAACAAACCTATGTTTGACACTATATCACAGTGTGATATAAAGGTTACAAAGGAGATATACAGTAATGAGATACCATCCCTGCCTTAAAGTCTAGAAGGGGAGACATCTATGTAAACAAGCTATTGCAACACAATGTAATACTTGCTATAATGGAAAAACAGAGGAAAAATTGTCTAATTCTACTGAGTGCCTCTATGACTGTACAGAGAAGGTGACATTTGAGTTGGGTCTTGAAAATAAACAGTCTCTTACCAAGTAATGAAGATGAAGAAAGGCATTACAGATGGAGGTACAGGCAGAAGTGGAGGCAGTGGGATGAGCAGACATACACTTGTAACCCAGCACAGCATAGGGGACTAGTCAGGAGCTGTGTAACCAGGGGACTAGTCAGGAGCTGTGTAACCAGAGCTCTGGCTCTCAGCCTGAGACCCACACCCTGGATCTGCACAGCAGTATGTCAGGGGCTATGCAAAACCACAGGATGAGCATGTCACAGTTGCCTAAGGTTTCTTTGTGTTTATTCAATTTTCTGTCAATTTTAGTTAATAGTGGCTTTAAGTATTTTTTTTAAATGAAACAAACACGAATCCATTACAGAGCCAAATGCAAAAACTTTGTACATTGTTTATATGAAACAAATATATCTCCATTACAGAAGTCAATTTTATGTTATAAACCTTTCCATCAACCTACTACTCCCAGCCTCTGTGATTTCATGCTCCTTGTCACTTAAGGGTCTTCAGTTAAGAAGCAGTGGACTAAAATGTAGGTTAGGCTGGGAACAGAGGCAGGAAATGGGGTAGAAAAACAACTAATTATCTTCCAGATTTATTTCCAGTGTCTTTCAGAATCCTGTTTATTCAGGGTTTCATGTGCCAGATTGAGCATATTTAAGGAGTGATGTCAGGATTCAATCTGTGATTTGGAAAATTCTGTGGCAACTTGGCAAATAAAGGAAAGAGATAGAACAAGTCAAAAGACTCTTGCTACTGTCTAGGTGAGAGATAAGGCATCTGAAATAAAGCAGAGGCAGAGGATGGCTAAGAGAAAAGGGATTGAGAAACAGTTAAAAAAAATGACAGGACTTAGTGACATGTTGACTGTGGGCAGAAGAAGAGTCAAGGATGACTTTCAGATTTCTAGTTTTGCAACTGATGGACAATGATACTATTACTTAGGGTAGGAAATAAAGAAGAAAAAAGGTTTCTGAAAGATAATGAGTCGACTTTGGCTCTGCTAAGTTGTGGTGCTATGGTAATTCATTCATTTACTCCATTTAATCTTTATTTAGCATCTATTAAACAACATGAACTGAACTAGACAGGTAGTTGGAAAAGTCCAGTAGCTAGAGGAAATTCAGACCTGGAATGTAAGCATTACGTTAGGCTGAGAATGTAGAAATGGAAGTCTGGTGTGTTTAGAGATAATGACTGAAGCTAAGGGGAATATATGACTGATGACACCGGAGAGTGTGAAGAGTGAGAAAAGGACTCAAGACTGAGCCCAGGGGAAAACGAATCTTCCAGTGTCTGGTAGTAGGCAAGCATGGAAAAAAGTTGTCAGAATGTTTACATGATACCTCTTTTTTAGTTTTCTTTCCCTTCATAATTTGCATAGAAAAATTTAATTGAAATTTGTGAACACAAATTCTTCAGAAATTTGAAAGAATCTCCATGATCTTTCTACACATCATGTAAAAAGTCTTCATTTAGGATCCTTAAAGTCTTATATGTTATAAATGATCAGCCTCTTCTCAATTTATTTAAATCGGATGTAAAAATTAATTTAATTACAGCAATTGCATTATTTTATTAAATTCTGTCAGTTTATAAATTAGGCAGTTATAATAATAATTATTAGTATTCTTTTTTGAGACAGAGGCTCACTCTGTTGCCCACACTGGAGTCCAGTGGCTCCGGCTTGGCTCACTGCAACCTCTGCCTCCCAGGTTCAAGCGATTCTCCTGGCTCAGCCTCCAGAGTAGCTGGAACTATAGGCACGCGCCACCACGCCCTGCAATTTTTTTGTGTTTTTAGTAAAGACGGGGTTTCACTGTGTTGGCCAGGATGCTCTCTATCTCCTGACCTCGTGATCCACCAGCCTCGGCCTTCCAAAATGCTGGGATAACAGGTGTGAGCAACCGCACCCAGCCCCTAAACTCTCATATGTTATAAATGATCAGCCTCTTCTCAATTAAAGATTTTATTTAAATTGGGTGTAAAAAGTAATTTAAACCAATTACAGCAGTCAATTACATCACTTCATTAAATTCTGACTGTTTACAAATTAGGCAGTTATAATTATTTTTTAAAGGAAAGGAGGACAACAATGTTCAGAGAGCTGAGCTTCACAGTGTGAATCCCATAGGACTCCTAATCACATAAAATGAACCTTGGGTTACTCACGGATTCACGTTTCTTCCCCAGAGACTCATACCTTGAGTCAAATTCTAAATGAAAGTTATTCTGGCAAGAGGGAAATGTAACCCATTAGGGTTGTGGGGCGTGCACGACACCCAGTGGAGCTCAGCTTCCTCTCCAGTCCCCAGGAGTGCCTAGCTCACTGCAGGGGGTAGGCAGGAAAGCTGTCTGAAAGGATTCTGAGCGGGCAGCCTTAACATCTTCTGTCCTGGTTCTTAGGGTCCACACCCCAGAAAAATTCTCTGGGTGAGATTGCGGTGGATGTGAATCATGGACTGAGCCTGTCAGACCTGGGGTCAGGCCGGGCCGCTGTCATCAATATACCTAAGCCAGAAAACTCTTTCCTTGTAGTGGAAAACTGTTGGCCTCACCAGGGTCGCGTTAAGTAACGTCACCACGTGGCAACCAATCACAAGTCGCTTTGAAAGAAACTGTTAGGGAGCGGACATTGTATTGGTAGAGGTGCTTTGTCAATCTTGCAGAGGAATCGCCTTTTTTTCCCTCAGCGACGGATGCGTCCTAGCAACAGTCGGCAGAGGAACTGCAGTTGTGCCCTTGGGATTTGCTTTTCTGAGAGGAGAGTGAAACTTCCACCTCCAGCTTTCAAAGGAGCTTTTCCCAAGGGCACTGCAAAGAGGCTCCTTTTCTTTCGGTTCAGCAGTATCAGGTAAGGGAAGCTCTGAATCGGAAAGGGGGCGTGGAAAACAAGTATTTTTACTCACTCGCTGTGTCAGTGAGGTGCTGGGCTAGTGGCAGTGAAGACTACAAAAAGTACAAGTCCTTCTTTGCTTTCAGAAAGCTTCCAGCCTAGAGAGGGAGACAAAAGTAGCAACGAGAGAGCGGTTAACGATACTCTAAGAACTTTGAGGGAATATACTGTCTTGTTCCCATGTTATATATACCCAGTGGCTATCATATTGTCTAGCACATAGTAGGAGCTCAATATATCCATGAATGAATGAATGCCAAAACAGCATGATTCTGATTTTCCGTCTAGGGGCTGGGGTCAAAGAATAAAATATTAATATGGGCTGAAATAGATTACTTCAGGACTGTTTAGAAAGGGCTGGAGAAGATATAGAGTGAGGAAGATGAAGAGGGAACACAAACTCTTTGAAAGTAAGGACATTGTCTTATTCCCCTACTGACTAGTTTACCTAGTATTTAATTGCTGCCCAATACCTTCTCCTTCTTGTGTACGGTGAATGCTAAATGAATTCACAGCAATCTTTCAGGAAGCTCTGAGTCTGAAGCTCCCTGCCTTTGCAAAGGCCTGACATAATTAATTACACACAGTGTGACTGGAAAGTGTCAGGGAGAACAAGATTGTTTCAGCCTGAGTGAGGAGGTCAGGGAGGCTTCAGGCTTTGGAGAGAAAGGTAATATTGGCCTTGAACGATAAGTCAGATTGAAGCAAGCAGAGAGATGCCTGCATGGTGTGGAGCAGGAGCTGCAGGATGGGTGGCAAGGAAGGGGATTCTCCAGAGAAGGAGGGGAGAAAGTCCTGGACTGTTTGGGAATGGATGGGAACCGTGTGAGAGTGGAATAAAACCGGAAAAGCTGACGCAGTGAGGCAGACTGTGAGGGTATCGATGGCCATACTTATATGAGTTTGGACTCTATTTTCTTTTGCAAAGTCTGGTGTGTACACCACCAGTGCAAGACTGCCTTGCAATGTTTTTAAAAATGCAGAGTCCCAGGCTCACCCCAGACCTGCAGAATCAAAAGAGGTCCAGTAAATTTGCATTTCAAATGAGCTCCATTTCTACAATCTGGAAGATAATGCTACTGTGAATGATAGGAACCCACAAAAGTCATTATAGAGGGAAGAGACTTGATAAGAGATGCATTTTTGGAGAGTTCTGAGGTTGGCCTCTTAAGTAGTTGTTCTGGTTAGAACAGAGGCAGAGAGGCCAGTTAAGTGTCCATGATTTAGGGCAGAGGATTGGGGGAGAAGAATCTGTGGATTTTTAAAATTACATATGTATTTTCACTAACCACCAACTGAAATGTATGCATTTGGTAACAAACCACAGTGGTACTCACAGTCGTGTGACTTTGCCAGCAAATTATAGTTCTTTTCGTATTATGTTATGGAGGTTGTAAATATATTATTTACACTCATCATTACCTCACAATTAAGGTACTTATTAGAACCACTGCTAGATTTCGTTATTTAATGTGTTAAAGAAGTACACATTATTATATCATAATTTAAAAACATTTTAATAACTATGTTTCCATGTAATCTATCTTCTTTGTAATCCCGTATTTATCTGATGCATGGGCTTCGTCAGGCTGCCAAAGGTTCATGGCACAAAACAGGGTTGGGGCTCCAGTTTTGGAGGATGTGTTAAAGACCTGAACCAGAGGATGCTGTAGGAGAGGAGGGCTTGGAATTCAGGAGATATTTGGAAGGAAGAAGTAATAGGATAGCGTCTACTTAAATAAATGAATATCCAATCTTGGAAAGGAGTGGAAATAGGTATAGAGGGAAAGAAACAAGAGTGTAGACTAATAGGAGACATTGTAGGAATGGTTGTCTCTAGGGGTGGATGTTGTATGTCTGCCGAAATAGGGCTGAAGGGCTCAGGAGAATCTTGAAGCTTAATCAGGTCTTAGTGAAGATTTACTGAGAATCAATAGTTCTTGGAGACACATTTACCAGAAGTCCAAGATGTTAGTCTTGGGTTTTATTCTAAATCTGTTTGTTTTTAAAAAAAGATAGCCCTGGAGAGGTAGCTCATGCCTATAATTCTGGCATTTTGGGAGGCTGAGGCAGGAGGATTGCTTGAGGCCAGGAGTTCTAGACCAGCCTGGGCAACAAAGCGAGACTTCATCTCTTAAAAATAAAATAAAAGGCCAGGTGTGGTGGCTCACGCCTGTAATCCCACTTTGGGAGGCCGAAGTGGGCGGATCACCTGAGGTCAGGAGTTCAAGACCAGCCTGGCCAATATGGCAAAACCATATTTCTACTAAAAAAAAAAAAAAAAATTAGCTGGGTGTTGTGGTGGGTACCTGTAATCCCAGCTACTTGGGAGGCTGAGGCAGGAGAATTGCTTGAACCCAGGAGGTGGAAGTTGCAGTAAGCCGAGATTGTGCCATTGCACTCCAGCCTGGGTGACAGAGTGAGACTCTGTCTCAATTAAAAAATAAAATAAATAAAAAGATGGAAGGCAAGCATGATGAGCTTATAAATTCTTTGGGAAGAGAAAAGAGGATGATGGCCACCTAGATAAGGTCAGCTAATTGAAGAAGACCTGGAAAGATAAGACTTTCGTAAGGAAGAACCCAGTTAAAAAGAAGGTGCCAGTGCTACAAGTCCTTTCATAATCAAGATCTCTTGACTGGGAATAAGCCACACATACATACAGGCAACAAATGGGAGCATGTAAACAGGTATGTGCTGTGAACCTAGATAGCAAACAGAGAGGGGGACTCTCTAAAATAAAATGTTTATTTGGGAAGCAGGAGCAGCAGGAGGGGTGGCCAGGAAGGGGATTCTCCAGGGAGGGAGGGCAGAAAGTCCTGGACTGTTTGGAAATGGATGGGAACCTTGTGAGGGTGGAATAAAACTGGAAAAGTTGACGCAGTAAGGCAGACTGTAAGTAGTTGTCTAACCAAAACAACTACTCAAGAGGCCAATCTCAGAACTGTCCAAAAATGCATCTCTTATCAAGTCTCTTTCCTGTATAGTGACTTTTGTGGGTCCCTATCATTCACAGTAGCATTATCTTCCAGATTGTAGAAATGGAGCTCATTTGAAATGCAAATTTACTGGACCTCTTTTGATTCTGCAGGTCTGGGGTGAGCCTGGGACTCTGCATTTTTAAAAGCATTGCAAGGCAGTCTTGCACTGGTGGTGTAAACACCAGACTTTGCAAAACAAAATAGAGTCCAAACTCATAAGTATGGCCATTGATACCTTCACAGTCTGCCTCACTGCGTCAGCTTTTCCGGTTTTATTTCACCCTCACACGGTTCCCATCCATTCCCAAACAGTCCAGGACTTTCTCCCCTCCTTCTCTGGAGAATCCCCTTCCTTGCCACCCATCCTGCAGCTCCTGCTCCACACCATGCAGGCATTACAATGGGAAGATGTGTGCTGTAGTAAACTATATGCATATTCAAGGAGATAAAAGAAGACAAAGGTTTTTGAAGAAAAATGAGGAAGATTATGTAACTGTCTTCAGATAGTTATCCTTGGCTACAGAATCAGTGACAAGACTGGCACCAGTCTGAGGTTGGACAGGCAGTTGCTAGGCAGATGTCCTTCCAGCAGTATTTTTTTTGTGTGTAGAGTGGCAATGGCCTTTATGCAAGGTTGTGATTTTGTATAGTCTTTTGTGATACTTCTTGTTATCGGGCATTTGTGATATGCTTTCCCTTCATGGCCTTCCCTAGCTCTATTTTTCAGGGTTTTTAACACAAGTGTTTCCATTTGATTCTGACAACTTTCACAATGCATTACATGAATAAAGTGAAGAGAGGAGATTAATAGCTGCTTAAATCACTGTATTATGACAATTTAATTGATGTCACTTATGCCTTCATCTATAGTAGTTAACCTCCTGAATAATAGAAGCATCATTAAAGGATATAGTTATGGTCAATTTAGAGAGTTAGTTTGGAACCAGATCATAGACAGCTGTAAATGCAGTATTCTTCATAATCAAGTGGTGCACCATCACAGGTTTTGATCTGTTTATGCAGAGGACTTACTTAGTACCTACTTTTGTCAACCTCTAACGTTTCTTACTGTTAACACAGAGTCTAGAAAATGTGACTTTTATTTTACTTTTATTTTATATACTTCAAAAGGTATTCTGAAATGGGTAAATTAATTTATAAAGAAAATAAGTTTTAATATCAAAAATATTTTTAATAAAAATGCTTAAACATTTCTAATTGTTACCTTCCACAGTTTCTGTTTTGAAATACATCAGCTCTGGCTGGGCGCGGTGGCTCAAGCCTGTAATCCCAGCACTTTGGGAGGCCAAGGCGGGTGGATCACGAGGTCAAGAGATCGAGACCATCCTGGTCAACATGGTGAAACCCCGTCT